CCGACTACAACTAAAAAAAAAAAAAAAATTTTTAATGACAGTATTTGGATACAATAAGTAAGAAAGATCATTAAATTTTTATTAAATAGCATTAAAGTTTTTTGAATAAAGCATATCTGCTCTGGAAATAAACCACATATGAAGAATTTCTTATTAATTACTCACAACTTTTAAATAAAATAAAAAAATTTCTACTCTTACATTTTGTGAGGAAGGGGCTGGGGTTGTGGCTCAACAGTACGGTGCTTGCCTGGCATGTGTAGTGTGCTGGGTTTGAGCCTCAGCACCACATAAAAATAAAATAAAGGTATTGTGTCCAATTACAAGTAAAAAAACCCCCCAAAACCCAAAATATTAAAAAAATATTTTTTGTAAGAAAAAAATTGAGTATTTTATATGGATGCAGACAGGCAAGCAAATAGTATATGCTAGAAATTCACTGAAGTATTTGTTATCTTTTTTTTTAATTTATTTATTTTTTTTTTTTTAGTTTTCAGTGGACACAACATCTTTATTCTATTTGTATGTGGTGCTGAGGATCGAACCCAGTGCCTCACCCATGCGAGGCAAGTGCTCTGCCACTGAGCTACATCCCAGCCCAGTATTTGTTATCTTAACAAAGGTCTTCTTGATTTTGTTGCCAATTAGATTTGATTTCTAATCCCTGTTTTAAAATTTCTTGGGATGGGGTATTGGCTCAGTGACAGAGCGCTTGCCTTGCATGTGTGAGGCACTGGGTTCTATCCTCAGCACCACATAAAAATAAACAAAATAAAGATATTGTGCCCATGAACAGCTAAAAAAAATTCCTCCTCAAAGAGATAATTGTAGAATATTAAAACCTGCTGGAATTTTCATATAGTCTAACTCAATGTGCTATTTGATATAAAGCAACTATTGTACTTTTCTGATATGGGTATTAGAATTTGAATGTGAAGTTAATTTTTAAAATTTTCAAGAAATGCTTTAAAAAAGTTTTTATTTATTAACTTTTACACTGGCTACTAACAGAAACACATTTTAAAATTGGAATTCATTAGTTGAATGTTCCAAAGGAATCTCCAAATTAAAATAAATTTAGGGGCTGGGGTTGTACCTCAGTGTTAGAGTGCTTGCCTAGCATGTGTGAGGCACTGGGTTTGATTCTCAGCACTGCATATAAATAAACAAATAAAATAAAGATCCATCAATATCTAAACAAAATTTTTAAAAATAAATAAAATAAATGTAGATCTAAGATGTATGTTTATCACCTTACTTTGTTCTAATGAATATGCTCAATTCTGAAACACAATTTTACAGGGAAAGGAGATTATAATCACTTGAAATGTTTTATGCTTATTCATAACACTTCACATATGAAAGAAATTAGTATTGAATTTTAAAAGTAAAATTTAATCTGCTTCCTTTTGCTTTTTTCAATTATGCTACTAGAAAATTAAAAAATTATGTTTTGGGTTTGTATTATGTTTCTATTAATAGCATTGTGCCAAACCAAGAGTTATTTCCATTTCTGACATCCCATCACTGTATTTGTAAATTGAACTACACCCATCCATCATATCTCTTAAGGAAAGGAGAAACCTATCTGTTTTTCATAGTCATTCATGCTATAGTTAAGGAATAAGTCATTCTTTACTTGAAAGATGCAGGCAATCTCAGGTGGCTCATTGATAGACAACCCAGGTTCCTTCTGATTGCTCAGTATTTCCTTCTCACTAGGTAGGAAACTTTGTTTACCTCTGTGGTTGGTATGGGGATTCCTGGGCCTGGCCTCCAGATGAGGTCTTCTGTCTTCCATGTTTAAGTCACTTGAATTCATTCACGCTCACGTTACTTTCAGTTATCTGGAACTGCACAGGTTGAGAATTATCAGTGCCCTGAAACAGCATCTAATAACAATCAAGCCAGTTCTGCCTTTACTTTTCAATGATTAACTAAGAGTTAAATGCAGATTTTAATCATGAGCACAAAGTGCTCAACTTTGTGAGTAACCAATTATAAAATAAAACATTAAATTCATAATTTAGGTGATTTCAAGGGATCAAATTCTTCCTTGCATTTCCTTGGGGATGAGGGAGTGTCAATTCACATTCAAAACTATTGTTCAGTTTATACCTCTAGCTAAGTTGCTTAAACAGTTGCTAGGTTTCATTTTCCTCTCCTGTAAAGCAAATATTGTTGCCAGGAGAAAAGAGTACATTTTTGTTAATCCAAAACCATGTACTCTATACCTCTCAATCCTCTAGAGTTTGAAAATAGTGAGCAATTATCCTTTATCCTATTCTTTGGAACACAGCTAAGTGATTAAACTCTCTGCTGTACTAAATCAAGAGAAAGAAATTACCTTTCAATAACTAGAAAGCTATTGATTAACTTAGCACCTATGAGTCCTGTTTTCTCAGAACCACTAGAAATCCGCAATTCTTTCTTTCCTCTTTCCTTTATCTAAATGATTTTTGACACTGGTTCTGTAAGAGGAAGCTTCTCTAAGGGAACATCTCAGTTTAACTCATGCATATCATGTGGGCTAGGGTTAGGGAAAAAGCAGGTGACTCAGAGTCCTCAGCAAAAAAATTTTTGAGACTGCCAAAGTTTTAAAATATTCATAGTTGGAAACTGTGAATAGATCTAGCATTATATGAGGGGCACTGTTATTCTCATCAGAAAAAGGAATCTCCCCTGCACCACGGCTCTACAATACTTTTGGCCAGTCTCTTCCCTAATCTTATCAAACCCTGCTCTCATGGCGGAGGTTCAATAGTTTGTTTGTTGTTTAAGGGGAAAATTTCTTCTTTTCTTGAAAAATATTAAAACAGAAACCCAGAAATTTAGGGGAAATAAAAGTAGTAAGGGGAAATAAAGAAAAAAAGAAACATAAGCAAGAAAGGGAGGCACACATAGGAAGAGGAAATGCCATGAATAAACAGACAAAATGTTTTTTTTTTTTTTTTTTTTGGAGGGGGGGAATGAAGGCAAAGAGGGCAGGAAGAAGAAAATCGGTGATGGTCAAGCGGGTACAGGGATGAGAATGAGAGCACGGTGATTACCAGGGTGGAATGAAAGAGGCTGAAGAAGGAGGTGAAGGCTGGTCTGCAGGGAAGTGTCCAGAGTCCGGGGATAAGTCTCTAGTGCACCGGAGCCCAGTTCGGAGGGAGACGCTGTGGGGTCACGGGGCAGCCCTGGGCAGGAAGGCGCATTCCCAGGCTCAGCGGGGGGAGCTGCAGAGGTGCGGGGGGCGGGCTTCAGGAGGCGGCAGGGCAGGGTGCGGGGCCACCTGCTGAAGTGCTGGGGGACCCCAGGAGGGATGGGGAGTGCGGGGTGTTGAGGGCGCTTGGTAACAGACAGGGGTGAAAGAGGTGACAGGGGTGAGGGATGGGGATGGACATGGTGAGGCAGGGGCAGTGGTGGGAGCCGGCACTGAGGGAGGGCGAAGGTGAGGGAGGTGTTGAGGGCGCTGGGGAGACCACCGGGGAGCTGGGGGCGTGGAGCTGCTAAGGTCTGCGGAAGGGCGCTGAGCGGGACGGGCTGAGCAGCGGGGACAGGACAGGAGGGGACAGGGGCTGAGCAGGTGGGACAAGACTGGGGGAGGCAGAGGGTGGGGGGG